ACCTAGCAGCAGTTCTTCTGGCTTAGACCGCGAATTTTTCAGTCCACCCTCGTAGTACTACCAATTCTTGAACAAATCGATGGGGACTGGGAATGTAATTAACAGAGTGGAATTATTTGAGGCTTCCGGGTGCAAGCCGTGTCCAGCCTTCATCAGAGTCTGGAGACGTACTGATAATAGCGTGCGTCTGGGTGTTCACTCCTTTAAGTACCTGTGTTCATTTTCCGGATCGGCGATTTTGACCAATCAGTGTTTAACTGATCGATCGATTCTTTTGGACACGGCTTACACCCGGAAGCCTCAAATAATTCCACTCATATCAATCCGGGCCGTGAGTCTCAAAACGCTCAATATGTAAAATTGCGATCGTAATTTTTCTTCCCACGAACTCGGAAAAATTGAGTTACAAAGGAAGAAAATATACATTTACACCGCAAAACTATTTTCCGAAACCTTCCCGTTTCCACTCGAACGGCACCAGAGACCCGTTTATTTTTCCGGACGAAGACGCATCGTCCCTCTGACGCACGTCTATACACGGCGTCATTGTTCGAGCAATCAGCGCACCGAGAAACGCACGGTACACGTTGAAAAATTCAACGATCCATCTGCCGTTTACCCGTCCTTCCTTCCTCCCAGAAAAAAAGAGAGGAGAGGAGAGAAAAAAAAGAGGAGAAACCTCATCTCTGAAAACTGCATTCTATCTGTACAGGCAGGAGGGACGCTCAGCGGGAAAGCGAGGTTGAACGCGAAAAATTCGCGTTATACCACCGTTCTACCTATATACATATATACACATCTGGTCGGTCGTATCGCGGGCCGTCGTTGAACGAAATCGTGGTTCGTTTACAGAGAAACGAGGTTTAAAGTATTTCCGCGAGGCGGAGGGGACGGGAGGAGGTAGTAGGTAGGTAGGAGGAGCTCGTTAGAGAATCCTCTAGGAAGAGATAGTTACTCGCGGTGAATATTATCTGGAGTAGATGGTGGCAAGGTGGTGTGTCTGGATGACGTTAAAGGCAAGCGACGACGACGACGGAACGGAGTTAAAGGAAGGGAAAAGGAAGGCGAGCCGCCCCGCGACCAAGTAATGTGGATTCGCTAGTCACGATCGATACGCGGCTGCTTTCTAGGTCAGGGTCCCGATACATACTCGCCACTCACCCGCTACTCACGGATACATGCTCGAAAACGCGTCCCGCAAATTCATTCGAAGCCAACCACCTAGTCTCTCCCCTCCTCCTCCTCCACCCTCTACCGATAATGTAATACCTGTGTGCGCGCGCGCGTGTGTTACCCGGCTTTTCTTCCACCCTTCTGTTTCGCTAACTCGGGCGAGACCGGGGAAAATCGAGGGGAAGAGAAGAAAGGAGAAAAGCGGAGTGAACCAGCCAGCGTATGCTCGGGACAAGAAAAATAGGTGGCTGGTTCTCGCGCGCACGCCGCGTCGGGGGAAAAAAGTTTCCCAGTTTCTAGATGAGTCCACCACACCTATATACATGTACGTATGAATTTACGTGTGTGTGTACTTGCGTCCTATCTGCACGCTTATACGTGCGCGTACGTGGGTACGTAGGTGTACCGTACGCAACGAGTGGTGGAGTATCGAGCAGAAATCGCGTATTGAACGGTTTCCCACGCAATCGAGATTAATGACGTACTCTCGCGGGCATGTTCTCGCGACCGGGTGAAAAAAATAGAGGAAAGAGAGAGAGAGAGAGAGAGCGGAGCGAGAATGGAAAGACGTATAGCTGGTCGATCGACGGATTTAAACCAGAATCTGGGATGGATTGTTGCTCTCGAATAATATCTCGTTTCACACCTTACACTTCTTCACAACTGATACGTAGTATTGTATGTACGTACTGTAAGTACAATAGGAATATGAAAAGGGGAGAGAAAAAGGAGAGTATCGGATTAGAATAATCAGATAGTAATATAAAGGTTTCCCGAATGTTCCAGGAGCGCGACACAGTTTAAGTACAACGGGGCCATCCGGGGATCCGCATGAAAGAGTTGTCTAATTGATGATCGCCCTTTTCTTTCCATTCGCGCGTGACCTGACCCATTTATATAAGCGACCACGGTACACGTACGCTGCATAGGCCGAAAATCAATTTGAACGTCGAGATTACCCGGGGTTTACCTTCTCTCGATTAAGATTCCTATCGATCACGCCAGCCGTGATCTTTCCACTCTATTCTCTAACTCGCTGTTTCGTTTAGTAACGATTAACAAACGCCCCCCATCTGGACACTTGTACAAATTTCATCGGCTGGCTCGCGGCCGAAAATGCACGCGATACACAACCCCCTTCTATCTAAACGATTCGTTCTGTAGAGAGCTTCAGGTGGAGGGCGTATATCGATCGTTTCGATTCGAATTTCACGCGGTACTCTCTCTCTCTCTCTCTCTCTCTCCGTTGTAAAGGAATTTACGGTGCTCGTTTCACACGGGCTATAGGGACACACGGTTTTATATTCCAAGACGACGAACGCTCGCCGGAGGTATTTCTAACGGATGGGACACGTATCCCTCGTAAATTTCCACGACAATCGTTGCTTGTAATATTACCCGAACCTGTATTATTGCTCGTAAGTACTTGTCCACCCTTTACGTTCCATTCGTAAACGTGTGTAAATTTCACGAACAGAATCATTCTCTCCCTATTTTCACGAAGAATAAGTAGTACCTATGCTACAGGGGATGCCTTTGGAATTATCGAAAGGGGCACCACGATCGCCGGTGTTATTCGAATCGACGATGGCGAGGGAAAAGAAATGGTAGAATTCTTGGAAGCAAGGGAAGGTTATCTTTTATCGGCTCCATCTTTCATTATTACACGTCCATCGGTAAACATTGTGTCAGACCATCTCCGCTGGCCCGATGAAAAATAACATCCTGGATTGGATTCTTTTTTTCTTTCCCCGCGATGAGGCCGCGCTCTATAAATACGCGTAAAGGACACAGAGGGCCGCGGGTATTCGCATTTATTTACCAAGTGAAATCGTCGCCGCTGCAGTTTAATCTAGTCGACCCGATCGCCAGTCGATACACTGGTAATAGACTCGTATCTAGGTGTCACAGTTGCTATTTCAAGGTCTACCCGTTCTTTGGTAATTTAGATCTAGATAGAGGGAACGTTCGACGATAGAATTCGTTGGAAAAAAGAAAAAAGACAGCTGCCTTAAATAAAAAAAAGAAGAGATGTTAGGAATAAAGAATAATTTAAACGCTGCACTGTAGTTGAGTATCGTGAATGTTGGAAGAATATGGATCGGCCAGGCCTGGCTTACAGTCCGTCAAATGGCGTTCGCCTCGAGAGATCTACGGCTACCGGGCGAAGGTGTCTGTCTGACTGTAACGGGACTTGTTCTACTGATTTCTAAGTGGTACGTGCATCGATATACCGTACGCAGGCTCCCAGTCACAACGTGCACGACATTGTACTTCTAAATACGTCGTTATCGTTTCAGTACTCGGAACGTTTAATTACTTCGTCCGACGCAACGGCGCACAGTCATCGGTCATGCAACAAAGCAAATGCAGCTAGAACGAGCAACAACGCAACAGTGCCGCTAACTCGCTATCCCGTCCCGTTTCCCAAACTGTGAAACTGCGTGAACAAACATCCCCTTTGGTATGAAAAAGGGAGACAGCGTCGAATCGCGGAACTGTTTCACGCCGAAACGTTCGAAGAGAAATAGAGCCGCGTTTCTTTATATACCGGGTGTCCCAGTTTTTTCAGACGAAACTTTGCCAGTGTCTTCTGCGGGTATAAATAGGAGAAAAAAGTCGTATAAACATGGGTCGTTTGAAGCTTCGTTAAAAAGTTACAGCGATAATACGAAGGGAACTGTACAACGGGTGTTCAGTTACTACGATACGAAATAGGAATAGATCTAGTCTGTTTCCGCGAGCTGTGTTTACGATCTGAGGTCGTTCAAAGTGTCGAACGTAACTTCTGCCAGCGCCATTTTGCAAGTTCGTTACCATTCTTATTTTCGCTGTAACTCTTCGACGAAGCTTCAAACTCACTCACGTAGAACGCACCGACGAAGTTTGATCCGAAATAAAAATCTAGGACACCCGGTATATACGCGTGCAAGTTAATCGAATCAGCATCCAAGGCCGCCGGAACGACTTACTCCGGATTTGAATACATTTCAATTGGAATTTAAAATTCGATCGAACGTAGAGCGGCAACCGAACGATATTCGCCCGTACTTCTACCCGATTAATTAACGAACTTTACTTTGGAAAACTGTTCCGCTGCGTACCCGCTGCAGTTAACAAATACAACCGCTACTCTACAAAAATCGCTCTCTCTCTCGAAAAGCAACTGTCACGGGACCGATAAACAACCGTATTCCATCGATACGTGTTCCAATACGAGGTTAAGAGTTACAACAGGCTCGACCTGATGTCTGTCGATGGTAGGAGCGTGTGTCTCGCTCCTCCTCAGGAGCTCCCTCTTAATAACTGTTCCCCGTGACTCTACATTTAAAAGCACTTTGCAAACCCGCCGGTGCTTTAGGAAGTTTTGCGGTTCGTCGCGATGAAACGGGAGACTTTTCTCTGCCGTGTGTGGATACGGTTACCGCAGAAAGAGGCTACATCCGGGGCCTCCGTCCGTGCCAAGAACGTTAACGTCTCCTCCTTCTTTTTCCCGAAAGAAACGAAACGTCGCGCGATCGATCGTACCTACGTATATACACATACTCTCGCGTAGACAAACCGCGCGATTGCTTGAACGATGGTGTTAAAGTTGGGGTCCTCTTTTCTTTTCTTTTCGTTCTTTTTTTTTCCTCACTAAAAGAAAACAAGTAAAACTACGCTAACAGAAAAAAAAAAGAAGGAAAAAGGAACAAAAACAAGAAGAAGAAGAAGAAGAAGAAGAAACGTAATAACGACTACCAGCTAAGAGCGTGCTATCAGCGCTAAGGCAAAGCGGCAAGCGAGAGTGATAGAGTGTGGAGTTGGTATACCGGCGCGGGACTGACCGTCGTGGAGCGGATCGATCGTGTGGATCATAAGCTGTAGCAGGCCGTGCCTGAACTTGGCGTGGCTCTCCCTGGAATGAGACGAGGGGCCACCGTGGGCTCCCTGCTCGCAGCCCTGTCCGGCCGTGCCACCGGCACCGCTGCTGCTCCCACCTCTGCTGCTGCACCCGGCC